AAACCAGTATGTAGCGAAATGTGCCTTACTAAATGTGGTTTTTGTTTAAAACTCTTTTTACAAATGTCACAAGAAAAAGGTTTAACATTTGTATGTATTAATAAATGTCTTTGAAGGTGCGATTTCTGAGTAATAATTTATAGCACACTTGACACTGATATGATTTATTTTTCTTGTGCTTTTTTACATGCTTTTCAAGCTCTTGTACAGATGAGAAAGTATCTATGCAAAACTGACAATTATATTCGACTTCAGCATTATGAGGTTCTGATTTTATTATTACTTCCTGATTGAATAAGGAACTAATAGGTACGTCTATGTTTTCAGCGTAATCATGATCAACATGATGATTTTTATTCTTGTCTTCCAAATCTATTTCATTTTTATCGAGATATAATTAGAGTAACACACATGTAATTTTCTATCTGATTTCAGACATTTCTCTCTAAATGAAGCAGCTACTCTTAATTCTTCTAAACACATGGAACAAATTTGCTTTGGGAAGCCATCATTTTCTGAAATCTACACAAATTAAAATTTTTAGTGACCGACAAATTGTTATTCGATGATTAATTTAAATCATGTGACACCAAAAAAAATATCTAATCTAATAAATGACTATATTAGAAAATTGTATAAATGAAAGAGTGAATCATAAAATAAATATCATTAGGATTGTACGCATTAATGATGGAAATTTTAAGTAGCAATGTGATGACTCAAAAATTTCCTGATTCAAATCAGAAACAAATCTGATTCCAATCAAGTCTATTTTACAGATTGACAAAAGCTAAAATTGCATTGCGTTTAGAATATACTAGCTGACCCGGCAAACGTTGTTTTGCTAAGTAAGTTATATTCTAAACAATTTCTAGAGAATCAAAAATATTAATACTATAAGTGTATAAGGATGTATTGTTTGAATGCTATATACAATGAGGTATTATCAAAACAAATAAACCCCATTAGTTGTCTATGTTTTTGTCAATACAATCAAACTGGAAGCTTTATACACTTTCTATAGAAATCATGGTATAATCCAATCCAAGTCTTTTTTGGTATTTCAACTTATTGATTACGTTTTAAGTTTTTCAGATTCTTCTGGATTCTGGATTTTGTGTATAATTGTAAATAATACTACTGAGCTTATACAAATTTTTCAAATTTCTGCGAGGAGAGATAGAAAATGAATTAGATATAACTGCTCTGACCTGCTTTTTAAAAAGTTTCAAGTAACATACCTTGAATTAAAGTAAATTAATAAAAAGTATGTACGTAGAGCAGGGCAAGGCACAAAGGTCCAATTTGAGTTTGAGCAAATATAAATTTTATTATGAAAATCAAATCAATTTTATCACAACAAATGACACATTTCAAACAAACAATTATCTTACTACGTTCAGTAAAACTACCAGCTTCTTCATCATTGTAAAAATGTGCTTTTTTCTGTCTTTCAAATATTTGTTATCTAGACCTTTTTACCCTATAGGCGGGGTAACTTGGAACGGCCAGATGGCAAACAGGTTTAATGTATTATTTTAATTTTAAAGGTATTTACAAAATAATTACATTTTTAACTAATGTTAAAAAAGTACCAACAGAAGAAATTACTTTTACTATGGATTTTCAAAGATGACCGTTTATCTCCCAATATCAAAGTCATAAGAATCAAGGTTATAGATGGTTATACAAAAACAGGATGAAAAGTATCCTATGTGTTTCTCCTGGCTCTAAACTACCTCCCTGCCAATTTTCATCTAAATCGGTTCAGCCGTTCGTGAGTTATAAGTGTTGCTACTTAAGCGATCCTCTTTTATATATATATAAATGACCAATATACTTGTTTACAGTGAAGGATGACAATAAAACAAGTTTATTACAATTTTTTTTTCAAATAATTTAATTTTGAAGATGGTTAAAATATATTTTGAAATTGATTAATAAATAACCAAACACTTCTGCATACCAATATTGTGGCTAAAAAAATCAGTCCACTACCATAAAGATTACAATTATTTCTTTGTAATGAATTTGCCATTGCTTGCATAATCAAATTACATATGATTTACCCGAGAGCCTTACAGGCCACTATTCATCAAATACAAAATTTTGACTGTAACAAATATTTATATTTGGCAAAAATCTATTGCAGTGTATGCTGATAAAACTATTGATTTATTAAGAAATGATGACAATGACCACAATATGTTGAATAAAAATTTATTTAATTTAATAAATCATCGCTAAGAACTTCATTGGGAGCCAAGATCTATAATAAGCTACCTGATGGATGGAGATGCAAAACCAGATTCACTTTTAAAAATATTGTTAAAAATTATTTACTAAATAATCCTTATTATTCTATAAATACATTTTTAGAATATTTATGTATTGTAAATCACTTAAATTGTAACTATTGAATTTTAATAATGTTCTATTCTATTCTATTCTATGTGAAAAACAAGATAAATCATGTTCTGAATTCAAGAATTTAACATATGGTCTCTAAAACACATGTTTATTACAAAATTAAGTATGTATAAACATTTCACAAACAAATTTGATTCAGGCAGAAGCAAAGAACACAATAATGCTGTTGTATCCCTTCAGAAATTGAAAGGCTCGCATGCAAGCAAACAATTCAAATAATTCGATTTCATTCAATTCATGAGAGTATCTCAAATGATTTGATTAAATTCGAATCGTGCGAGAAACTCGAATTATTCAATTGAATTCGGATCAGTTTGTAACTCGAATGAGGCGACTTAATTCGATTTTACATTATTATATTTATGTTAATTAAAATTATTTTGTTTTAGATTTATTGAAATCTATGTTCATACTCCATACATATTATGTCACAGTAACTATTATTCGGCTTAACACGAGTTGATTCGAATCATGTAAAATGTGATTCAAGCCAATTTATTAAGGGCTTGATTCGAATGATTTGAATTGCTCGATCCGATCTGACCATCACATTATTAAGTATAATTGTATACACTAATAATTTATACCTACTTAGGCATGTATGTGCTTAAAATTTCCACATTCAAATTAAATTACAGAAAAAAACAAAACAAATCAGCATGCAATTGTAAGTTCTACAAAATTGTCCATGCAGCTTGTTTAACCCATAACCTGTCAATGCTTACCTTTAAAGAAGTCAACATAACAATCGCATCCTGAATTAAACTAGTATCTTCTAATGCATTAATAAATATATCTATTTCGCCATTTTCTATCATGCACACTCTACAAACTCTACTGAATTCGTCAGGCGTCATTTCTTGAGGTTAATGTTATAATTACGACCATAAATACAGTTGCATATAAAATGGCAATATATTTTAAGCCAACTCGACAATGTCACGTATTTTTATTATTTGCATAATATATAAGAACAATCTAAATTTGTTGTTTTAGCAATTTTAAACATAATGTTTACTTCAATCATGAATTGCGAAGAGCGAGAAACGTCAAGCATGAGTAAATTGACATTTGAAATTACTTCAGGGATTTTCAACCTTTTGTCAGAATCATTTAAAACTTCTTGTCAAATCTTGTCTCAACGGCTTGCTGAATTTCAATAATTTTGTATCAAATAAATAAATAGCAACTTCACTTATATTAATTATATACTTGACTACTGGTGCATGGCATCGTGCCTTAAGGCAAATTGCTGGAACTTCTCGTACCAAAAAATTTTCTTTTTAAAAAAGATTAATTTTTTTTTAAACTTTGAAAAATTAGGTTTTTAGAAAAATTTTAAAGTTTTGAGAAAAATTACTTTTCTTTGTTTCGAAATATTTTGCAAATTTTGAACTTTTTTTCAAAGCATCGTACTTTTTTAACTGCATAGAGACGAAATATCGAAGCGCGTAAGCGCCGCGTCGCCCGCGTTATGGCATCCGAAGAAATGTAAACAAAATTAAAACGTATTAGTAAAATCTATGTCTAACGATAATTTTTTTTTTTGTTTTGTTACTAGATTGTACTAATTACGAATGACTGGTAACCTGAATCAAATTATATATTTTTCAAGTCCAGATGAGTTCAATATGAATGATTCATAATATGAATATTCATATTGAAGTAAAAAAAATTTAAAGAAATAACGTCACTTCAATATCATGTATTAATAAATCTAAGGTCTTTATAAATATATAAGTTTAACACAATTTATTATACAACAAAATTGCACAAAAACACTTTCATAGATGTACAGCTTATCCCAATAGACATCACACTAAACTTGATTTTTATTTAAGTAATAATAATTATTTTTTAATAATAAATATAGTTATTTCTCCATCACTTTATAAATACTCGGCATTTGACTTTTTCTGATGACTATTAAAAGTCAAAAATTTATGCATAACATTAAACAAATCTGATGAGTTACATTACACACTAGTATAAAATATTTTTATTAAAATTGATTTAGTGTACCTCAAGATTATTTATTCTACAGTCTTTTCAATAATAATATCAATATTTTTATGATTATATAAAACACTACTTATTTATATTTTTTTTAATTAACTTATTGGCAATTAATTAAAATTTTAACAGCCTGTTTATAATGTTCTATTAAAATAATAATATTGTTATTGAATAATATAATGTGAGCTGGTTCTAAGAAGAAAATGTCATTCAATATTATTAAACTGAAGACACACAAAAGCATTCTCTCGTATGTTGTATTAATTTGTTAATATTATAAATTGATATTGATTATAAATGAATATTATTATAAATACTAACAGTTGTGACACAGTTGTACAAGTATCCATATAACTAAAGAAATCCCAGAATTTTTATATTGTTTGAATTTTAATCACATTGCACAACTAAATTATTATTAAGGGAAAACTAACTGTCCCATTATAATATCAATTATATTTGCAATATACATTCCTATTTATTTTTTATTATATACAAAACAAAAATATATTTATTTTAAGTGTTTATTTTTATTAATTTACATATGTCTATAAAATCACAATGCCGCCACAAAATAAAAAAAAATCAGCAGCAAGTGTGCTCAACATTCAAATTTTGCATTTATATTAAATAAAAAATCTGAAAATTAAATGTATTTTTAAAGATAATTTAAATTACTTAGAACAGTTAAATATTTACAGTTTAATACAAAGTGCTATAGACCAAAACAATGAAAATATCATTGACATTTTACAAAATTCTTAGTTATTATCTTATTTACAATGTCTACAATTCCAATAAAGAAAATCTCTAAGAACATTCTGTAAATTACAGCTCTCAATAACTTATAGTAATCAGAACATTGCAATAACAAGAACATAAATGCTTTTGATAATCAAATACATCATCACATCATAATATCGTAATCATTGTTTGTTTTGTTTAAACTTTAAATCTGTGTTATATCTTGATATTGCAAATTTCTTTTTTTTTCATATTGGACATAAAATTAAATCATATATAGGACATGAATTGTGTGATACTAACTAAACACATCACTTTTATACATAATTTAATTAAATTTTTCAGTACATGTTAAAGTCAAATACTATATGACCAAATAATATACCTAAAATTATTCAATCAATTTTTTTCTAAATAAGTGTTCAGTTTAAATGTTGCAACCTGACATGATTAGCATCATTGCATGGTTACTAAAATCAAAGAATATATGTATTATTTGGAGCAATAAAAAATTAAAAAACAAAAGTTATATAAATTTGTATTTGATGGCTGAAAAGATGTTTAAAGTTTGTTTACCAAGTAATCAACAAATTATACAAATTTATCAAAATTTAACTTATATATCACTTGCATTAATTACTATTAATCATACTATATATGTATGTATATTTAAGCATTTGAATGCTGATCCAATCAGACTACAATCTAGAGAACAAAACAATAGTTTCATACATTTTCCAATCAAAATAAAAATAAAATACAGATGTATTGAAAGTTAATGACCGGTATTAATTCTAATCACTAAAAATGAAAAAAGATCAATATATGATCCCTTTATTAATATTTAATATAATTATCTACATAATACCTAATCTCATTCCTGGTAATACCGTGTATGAAGGATTTATAACTTCATTAAACATTTCATTCAAACATTTATTAAGCATTTGTACCTTTCAGTCTGCCTATGTTCAAAAAAGCTATTTGAATAAATAAAAAAATTAATTTAAAATTTCATTAATTATTTTATGACCATTTCATTGTATATTACATATGAGTTACAGAAATTAAATATTAATTAAAAGTTAGAAAAAATTATACCAATGTTATATTACATTTAATTAAAACTAAAGTTGTGTAAATACTTCGTTAGCACCAGGCTTTCCCAACATCTTCTCATTACCAGTTTGCTGCTGGTAATCCCTAGCACAAATCACAAACATTCATTCTATACATTCACTAATAAATAATGCATTCATTGCAAATGTTGAGGGTAAAAATTTGAAAAAAAAAACTAAATACTTATATAAAATATTCAATTTGAAAAATCTGAAAATAATGTTGCGTAATTATTTCATTTCATAACCAATGGGTGTTTGAGATTAAATTTACACTAATCTAACTTTTGCAAGTGTTAGCTATAGCTTGAATCAGTCTAATTTTTTTAAAAAAATGAATATAATGATGAATATTTAGCAATAAATAATGCATTTTAGCTTCGAATTTAAATTTTTACTTGATATATTCCCTATTGAACTTTAGTACTATGTTCTTGAGAGTACCTCCTACAAGCTTGTTCTCGTTCATTAGCATCAAAATACCAAAGTGTGATAGCATATCTTGTTTGATGTGCAGGTTGCACTTCATGAGGATTTCTGCGATCAGACCAGAAAAACAATATGCGGTCAAACACAGGTTCTATATTAGCCACCCTGTCGCATCCTATAAGAGATATAAAAAAATCACTTTTAACAAAATGTTACTAAAACTTTACTTTACATTAGCAATGGATGTCATTCAAAAAATTGTTGAAGTTTCGACAAGGAATAATTTTTAAATTTATCAAATAGTAAAAACCAAGATTTCAGTCAAAGTTAAATTCATAAGATTGATCACAAATGTTTATGATATATACATATTTTAAAAAATATTTTGGCTTCAAGATTGCAACATTAAAATGGTAATTTTGTTCTTAGCAGATTTTAAGAAATTTATTAAAAATCATTTTACAGAATTGACAATTTTCATATATGTTTTGTATGAATATTCAATTCATTTAAATCAATTTGGTAATACCATATATAAATATTAGGTTACCTTCAGGAAATATTCGTAGAAGTCCCCCATATTTTTGAACATCCCAGTCTGGATTGAGATAATAAATGGCAGTAATGCATCGACCATCGCTATTTGGATTATCTACATGTTTTACATAGTGGGTCCCAGATCCAGGATAGCAAGCTACCATAGCCTAATTAATTTAAATTCAACAAAAATAAATGAAATATTATTTGCAATAAAACTTTGATCATCAATTACTTATAGGCCATCAAATTATAACAAACAAATGATTTAAATTAAATTTGTATCTCAATAATATGAATCTTTATAAGAAATGTTAATGAAATCTAACTAACTGGGAAAATCAACTTTTCAATATTTTAATATAAACATTAAATATCAACAGCATGAATGTCTTTCATTTTAATATATCTACACGGCATAATAATATTGATAACTATCACAAAAAAAATTAGAAAAAAAAATTATCACATAAGTTTGAAAATGATGAGCTTTTAAGTGCAATCCAAAACTTTGGTCAAACCAACAATTTTTCGATTATTGTACTTGATTTTCATTAATATTGTTCTTAAATGTTGGAACTTTAATCGTTAATAACATTTCTGAGACCACAGTCCAAAATAATGATACATTGTCTTAAATTTTTAAAAATTAAGATTTTTGTTAACTTATGAAATTATAATTTTCAAAATTCGCTCTCTTTAAAAAAAAATGTACTGGTATTAGCAGCTTACATCAAAAGTTGATGTATCAGCAGGATTGTAAACTTGATATTTTTATAATAAAAAAGATCTAGAAAGAAATAAAAACTAAAAAATAACACAATTTTTGCCCGTGCACTTCATTTATTCACGCATATTGATCTTGCGTGTACAAAAAAATTTGAACTGATGATATACATATAATAAAACTGAAAAACGGCTTTTACTAGTTACCTTGGTTCTGCCATTGATGACGTACTGCCCCATTTTACCATTGTTTGCCATCTTATTTGAAGTCATAATTACTGCATCAACCTAAAAAACAAAAAGCATGAAAATTATAAAATAAATTATTAAACAACTAATAAAAAATTGAAACTCCTACTAGTTTCATGCTTACTATCAGTATTGCAAAATTAAACCCAAAACAAATTGTTAATAAATTATTGATTTTATTGCAAATTAAATATTTCTTTTTACCTTGCCAATTAATTGGCCTATATTATAACAATCTGCCTCTCTTCCATCTTTCCAAGCAATTTGATCACCTCTAATTGTTTTTATATTCTGATTATATTTGCTTGATACTAATTGACCATCCTAAAATATAATCGAACATCAGTTAATAATTACACAAAAGTTACCAATGTCCACTTTAGTATTAGTACTTATCTGTTTGATTTTAAAATCATTATTAGTAAATATTGGTTGATGCATAATAATATTGTATGAAGGATTAGTCATTATGCAATAAGATTCCATTTTCTCCCAGTAGACCCTATTTTTCCACAAAGTTTGTCTGTATGTCTGTTTGTCATATGTTCATACCCAAATCCAACAAAAACATTTAAAAACCTTACCAAAATCGAATATATGATCTAACCATGTAATGATTAAAAATGTTTGAAACTAACTGATCATCTGATAAGGAATGATAATATGCCTAGAAACAAATGCTATGGCATAAATGATTTTTTAAAATAGCGAAAGGATAATGTACGCTATGTTGCAATGTGTATGATCTCTAACCCCTATAGTAAATTAATTATGAAAGTAATAACTAAAAATAAAAGAATCCTTTATGATTTTATAAAAAATGCCTCAATAATCTCTGAATGACTGTGGTGACTTTGCACACCGTATGTAATTAGGCAGATTAATTGGAAGACAATGACCTCATAATATTACCACAATGTATAAATATTTTCGATTTTAAATGTAAAAATGATAAAAACTTAAATATTTTATTAATTAGTTATATTGAACCTATTTATCTCCCTTCAATAGAAAATTGATTGAAATATTCCTAACTGCAATATGAAATAAATGATGGTATAAAACCTTTCATTATTTAAAAGAATAAACAAATATATTTATGTTTCCATACATCCATATATGGATTAATCCCATGAAAAAATTTCCTGCAATTTTTTTGTAAACATTTGAAAAACATGGGACTTTATGAAGGTTGCTCCTAAAATGTTTGTAATATTGGTGTAAATTTAAATTAAGTAATATAATCAATATCGTAGGTATTTTAGATTCGATTCTATATATATTGAAGATTTTTATATAAATAGAAATGTTATTAAACTGCACCAAATAAACAGCAAATAAGCTGGTTAATAAGCAGATTAATAATTCAATTTAATGTAACAAATTATCAAATGTAAAATCTAGAGAATGCTAATAATGTATTAGAAATAAAACCTTGTTGATTATGAAATATTAACATGAACAATTTTCCCGAACTTTAATGAACCATGCAAATATAACATTGGCCAAATATTTCAATCACCCTCACCTGGAATACTCCTGTTCGGTACAGACCTCTTACTTCCTCCAGAATAGCTAAACCTCTTTTCCTTCCCAAAAAATTATCTACAACGCATACCCCGTAATCGTTCATATCTCTAATGACATTTTTGCAAATGTGCTCGTGATAAACTTGATCGTTAAACATATCTCTGATTTCAGCACTTTCAGATCCAAGTGAAATTTCTGTGAAATCCTTTACAATATTTTTATTGCTGACTCTGTTGCTAGTGCATGGTAAGGTATTAATTGAGTTAGTTGAGCTGATTTCCTGATAATTCTGATTTTTAGTTGGTTTCAAAGCCTCAATTCTCGAACTCAGTATTTCTGTCTCAGATGATCCTTGATCGATGTAGGTATTAACTTTATTAATAGGTAAACACTCAATTTTATGACGTTTCCAATCTAATTTTTGATGGTCGCGGGAACAATAATATGCAATATGACATCTAGAACACCGTTGCAAATTATTGTTTGATCCGCAGACAACGCAGGACTGGAACAACGAACCATTCATTTTAATTTAAAACAATTATTTACAAATATGTTAAAGATCGTACATTGCTAATGAATCACAGATTTTAACCTTCAATTAATGTCGTTGTGCAAGTATCAAATACATAATGGCTACATTTACTCTTGCCGATTGTTTGTGTTTGAAGAAATGTGAATTTGTTTAATAATAATATTTTGAAATTCTCTTGAAGTGTTTTTACAATGGTATTTATAAATACATTATTATTGACTTTAAACTAGTACGCATAGTACGTTTGTAATGACGAATTGCCATTCAAAGCCAAAAGTATTGCCAGTTTTTTTTTTTTGTTGACAACTCTTCGTTTTGATGCAGGGCTTGCAAACTCTTAACAATAATATAATATATTGTTGCAAACTGTAGTATTTCTATCAATAAATACTATTATTAAACTAGTGACATGAATATAAAAGTTCGATATACGAGTATTCGTTCTTAAAAATACCATAGAAGCTAAGTTGACCCCTTCAAGGGTCTGGTGCTTCTTGGAAAACCGACAAACGCAACGTCATCACCAATATTACTATTAACTAGTGGTTTGTGGCTGGAACTTTTTGTACCAAAATTAAAATGTTTAAAAATTTTTGAATACATTGAAACAATGAGATTTTTGAGAATTTTAAAATTAATAAAACGACTTAAAAATTTGGATTTTTTTTATATTCTGAAAATTTTGAACTTTATTCCAAAGTAATCATGTTGCGTATTTTAGAGAAGAAATATCAAAGCGCGTAAGCGCCGTGTCGCAGAAAAACGGATAAACTTAGTACGAAAACCATGAACACAAAGTTTATACTTAATATTAATATCTTTGTAAAATATCTGATAATTTGACATGCATATGTTTATTATTATTTTTGACTGCCACTTGCCTTTTTTACTCGATCTCCAAAACCGTTTGACCTGTCTTCCCAAAAATTTAACCAGTTTTTGATTTTGTCAATACAAGCAAAATGTTTTTTGAATTATTGAAATAGGATACTCCGTTCTCTCAAAAACTGAATTAGCATTTTTGGCAGTTTTTGCTCTGTATCTTCGAAACGGATAGACCTGCCTTGGCCAAAATTAATCAGCAGGTCTCCTTATCAAATTAGGAATCAAATGTTTTTTGTTTGTGTTTGCGAAATCGTCGATGAAAATTTGTATTTGCACATACATACACACACACACAAACACATACATCCATTTCTTCTAAGAAATACCAAAATGTTCAGAAACATCAAAAACGTAAAGATTTGTAAAAGAAATTATTTTAGATTTTCTTGCAATTACTTACTTTTCCCTATTGGAAGTTAAGAAAAAAAACTATAAATTTATACATAGATAGTTACTAGGTTTTGTTTAATATAATGCGATGTAATAAACACGAAAACTTTATTTTTACTTTTGCGTTGTAATGTTCATGTCTCATTTTCATCTATTTTACTATTTATTAGAAAGAACGCCAAAAAATTAAAAATAATACAATCATAGATAAAAGAAGAGTATACAAGAAGTATGGATACAATCCTATTACCCTGATAAAACATTTTGTTCTTATATTTTATATTATTAGCATAAAACTGCTGAACTCTTAATTGTATATCCCACGTTTAACAAAATTAATTCATCTAATCATAGCATCCAATATTCAAACAGAAAATTTGCTATCTTCTCCTTCAAACTTTATTTCTTTTAACGACAGTGTTTAGGTTTGCCGCTTCTGGTAATCTAATGACGTAAAATTAAGCGCGAACTTTTTAAATTGTCAAAACTTTAAAGATCAGATACAAGAAGTAAAAGATCAAATAGAAGTTCAAATGCAAAATGTGTGATATAAACAAATTAAGAAAACAGATTAATTCAGCATTTTCACTGAGTGGCTATAAGATACAATCGTAAAACAATATATTATAAAAAATATCTTAATTATTGTGATAAATTAATAAATTTGTTCATATTTAGGCAAGCATGTACCTTTCTCCTAGACCAGTTGACCCCTCTTCCACCAAACGAACAAAATTTATGGTTAAATAAACTCACAGCACATGTTCAAACACAGGAATTGAAATTGCCAGTTGTAGGGCAAAATGAAATCGAATTAGCTATAAAGGTAAAAATGATTGATAACATAGACAATAATTTGAATTAATGAAAAAGATGTACTTTGTATCTTTACTTGATTATTTTTAGTCATGTAGTAGGAGTCGATCTGATGATACAGAATCAATATTTAGTGTTATAAGTGCATTTGACGTTCCAAAGTTTTATTACAATGAAGAGCGAAAGAAATTTTTACCCGAGGAAAGGAAATCGGAACTAGGTACTGTTCAATATATGCCCATTGTTAATATGAAATCAGACTACATGAAATATAGGTACACTTGTAACTAATTATTGTGCTAATAATAAATATATATATTTATTTATAGATAATTTGATTTTAGGTATGCAGTACTTTACCAACGAATATCCAGACATGAATTATTCTGTCCACCAGTCATAGGCAAAAAAATAGAACCTGGGAAAAAATTTAATCTTAGAACAGTAGAGACATTATTAAGTTTATCAAAAATGAATAATGTAGTAGTATTAGGTAGGAATGCCAAGTTTAATAAATATTTTTATAGTACTTTTATTAAGTAAAATGAAGCTTTTTAATTATTATATAATTAATATATTTATGTTACCAGTTTTACATAAAGTTATAGTTTTAATCAATTTTCATATAACTGCTAACCTTTTTCATATATTTTTTTCATAATTTTTTAATTTATACGAAATTTATATTTTATTTCATATTGTAGGTTTATTAACTCAACTAAAAGAAGGCCAATTTTTTATTGAAGATGTTACGGGTGCTGTACCAATAAATATAACTAATGCCAGGTTGATTCATTTCTTTATTTTTTGATCTTATAAACATATTTGTGATTTATGTTCTGCTTCATAGGTTTCATAATGGTTTATTTTGTGAAGGCTGTTTTATTTTAGCTGAAGGAAATTATGAGGATGGCATATTAATGGTTCATGGACTTGGTTTTCCTCCACCGGAAACTGCTAAAAATAGCAGGTAGGTATAATAATTGATAGAAATTTGAATTTAGCATTAAATTATAACTATACTGGTGATGGGAAGGTGAAAACATAATATTTGAGTCTTATAAATTAAAAGATTAAATATTTTTTGGTATAATATATCTTAAGAAATATAATAAAATTATGTATTTTATACTGCAAAATTGAAAATTGATATTAAACCAGGCTTTAGATTATTAATTTATTTAAATATCAGTGGTCTATTTTCAAAAAATAATTATGATATATTTCGAAAATTGACCACCAATATTTGAATAAATAATGATAGTTTTGCTTTGAAATACAATCTTTTCGCTCCTTCAGTATTAAAACATTATTATATTTCATAGGTTAAATTAAATGAAATATATTAAATTATCTAAATCTTAATACTTTTAAAAGATATTTGAATTTATTATGCTGTAGTAAATTGAGTAAAATAAATTTAAAGGGCTTATTTTGGTACTTTAAACACATGGGGAGGACCAAGTCGGACGCTTCTTAAATTATCCCCAAAACTTGCAGCGATAGAAAACAATAATGCGGATGCCACAATAGCATTTCTTTCTGATGTTTGGTTAGATAGTCCACAGGTAAATATTACAATGCTAAGACTTCAACAAAATTCAATTAAGTAGTTTTGATAATTTCCATTAATTTTACAATTTTTGCTGCGCTCCCTAGTCTCTGTTCAGTAAAATTTCTGATAACAAATTGCATTTCGATGATGTAAGATGACCTAGTAAAGTAGAGAAAAAAGTATGAGAAAATCAAATATTGCATTGCTGCAATTATGTTCAGTTGCTAATGAGATACTATAAATATGGTTTAAACTTTGCTCATTATTTTTGATAAAATAATGTATTATTTTTTTATTAAAGGTGATGGCTAAACTGGGTGAATTGTTCTCGGGATATGATTCTTGTCCACCTGTCGCTATAGTGTTAATGGGACCATTTGTAAGAGAGAACGGCAATCCATTTAATTTGAAAAATCACTTAAGTGCACTCGGCGACTTAATTTCAAATTTCGAAAATATAAAAACTGAGACTGATATTATACTTGTACCTTCAGCAGATGATCCATCAGCTCCAAAGTTATTGCCAAGGTTAGTAGAGCTAATAAGTTATTGTTAACATTTTGTGGAATGTCTAGATAGAAATTTCTTTTAATAATGAAAACAAATCATTGCTCATAAGATTGCCGATCCCTGAATGCTTGGCCACAAGTCTTTTGAAAAAGATACCAAGAGTAAAGTTAGCCACTAACCCATGTCGACTTCAATATTGTACACAGCAAGTATTGGTCTGCCGAGCAGACCTGCTAACAAAAATGTGCCGTAATGCAGTTAAGTTTCCTACAGAAGGTGATTTGGGCGAGCATGTAAGTTACGTTTTTAAATTAGTTGTAAGTGATTTCCAATTAATGTTTTCCAAACTTACTTTATAATATCTGTAATTGTATACATTAAATTATTTTGTTTAACAAATTTTATTTTATCTATTTCGGGTTCTAAAAATGTATATTTAACTTTCTGAAGAAGTTCATGTTTTCATAAAAAAATCCGATTCGCAAATTTTATGTTTTCTCAACGTTTCAAGCCATTCTGAATCGAATGAGACCCAATTTGGAAAAAGTATATGTATGTGTGTGTGAACAGATTTTTTGCCGTAAATCGACGTTTCCTCAAAAACGGCTGGACCGATTTCAAAAATTTAAAAGCCATTCGATGTATATCAATGAAGACCAGCGTTTATCAGTTTTGCACGACGATCAGCCAAGCCGTTTCTTTGTAAGAAAAGTGAAAAAATTTTCATCCACGTTTTAGCCCGCAATTCTGAATCGATTTTGAAAATTCAAAAACTGTTCAAAAAGATATTGGTTGTGAATCGTGATGATCAGTTTTTGGTAGAGATCGGCCGGGCCGTTTTCTTATAATAAAGTAAAGTCGTTTGATTTTAAAAATTCTTGAAAGTTTGCAAAAACTAGTATCATTCTTTTGGCATTTGTCAAAATTAGACCTTTTATCGACGTTTGCTCAAAAACGCCTGAACCGATTTTAGAAATTTTTCTATCGTTTGTCGGTTTTGTGGGACGATCTGCCAAGCCGTTTCCTTGTAATTTGAAGAAAAGAGTTGAACTTTTCGTCCACAATTAAGCTCATACTACCCAATCGATATTAAAAAATCAAAAACTGTTCGAAAGATATTAGTTGGGAATGATACTGATTAGTTTTAGGTGAAAATCTACCGAGCCGTTTTCTTGTAATTAAAAAGTTTAAGCCAATTTTTATGGAACTTTTTTTGGCGATATATATCATGGTCTTATAGAACTTATTGAAATATTACGGCCTTATGACAAGTAGTTTAATTTCAAAAATTTATCAAACTTTGAAAAAATGAGTAGTTTTTTTAACGTTTGTTAAAATAAACTGGTTTACTTATAAAAATTATTGATTTTTGAAAATTGAATTTCAGAAAATACTCCGAGGTAACTTGCTTCAAGGTAAAATACTAATACGAACTAGTTTATTAAAGTGTGGGCGTCATCTGTAATCAGTAGCAACGTAGCAACCTACAAAAAGAAACGCGGAACGTATATTATAGATGTTCGGCATAGATTCTGCTTAGAATCTCCGCATAGTTTCTGCTTAGAATCCATCAAGTGCACGGCGAAATTCTAAACTTTGATGAATTTTTATAATTCAACCGCTGTCGAACAGTTTTTAAGTTTTTAAAACTGATTTAAGATTATGGGCTGATACGTGGACGAAAAATTTTACACTATTCTGCTAATTATAAAGAAACGGCTTGGCTGATAGTTGCACAAAACTGACAAGCGCAAATCTTTCTCGGGTTACAATTTTTCAAATCGGTTTAGCCGGTTTTGAGAAAACATCGACAAAGGTCAACAATCGGCTCACATAAAAATACACACACACATATATATACTTTTTCTCAAAATCTGTCTCATTCAATTCACAATGATTTGCAACATCGACACATAAAAATTAAACATAAAAATTAGCAAACTGTATTTTTTTGCTAAAACAAACTTTTCTTCGAGAAGTAATGCGAAATAATAGAAATACAAATAAAGTTCCATTAAATGATAATTTGATCATAGTGTATCAAAGTGTACACTATCCTCAAATTTGTTCTTTTAAATTAATATATTAAATAATCTTATAAATCAATTTGCTTTTCTTACAGTTTGCCAGGACATTAATATGCCAGGGTACATTGGCTCCAGTTACTCAGCTGGTTGTTCCAACACTGTGGGCCCATGATGCAGCATTATCACTTTACCCTCTGCCTGATTTGATTGTTATAGGAGATACTAGTAGTGGTTTCAATGCTAGTCTTTATGATTGCCTGGTGATTAATACTGTAAGTATTACAATATTAATAAAAAGAATACATGAACATATCATATATGTGTGTACTTCCTGAAACAATCGGAAGAGAATTACAACTAACTATTTGCTTCTTTCAGGGTTCTTTTCCAAAATCCAAATTTTCATTCAAAGTATATGTACCAGCAATTAGAACAATAGAAGATTCACAAATATCAGACAAAGATGATTGAATTCTAAACCCTCGTTTTTACCTCCAACAAAATGGACTATGCAGAAGGAGCTAAAGAACCACATGTTATTTAAAATAAAAAAGTAAAATTTAGATTATTTGATCTATTTTCATAAAACAGTGTCTGTGTTATCTGTACCTCCACAAGGAACTCTTTTATATAAATATAAGTGATTAATATTTTTTAATGTGTTCTTTTTACCTTTGCTCATAATGTCACTATTAATCATCTTAGTATTGAAAGGCAAACTTGGTAGTCTCCAATTAGATGTAAAAATACAGGATTTTTCCTCCTTCTTCAAAAGTGTTTTTGTATCAAATCAGAACTACTTTCAACTGGTTGTAGATTCTATATAAATCTTATGTTTATAAATGAAAATGTTTTGCTGATCACATAAATAAACTAGTTGTAAGTACTTTCCCATGCATATACATAATCGAGTCAATAACATTCAGCTACTTATGTAAAATGTTCAACTATTTATACCAAAAGTAAAGTTTTCGATTTTACAAAAAAATAATCAACACAATTTCCAATTGATTTCTTTTAATCACAATTTTAATATCTGTAATCTTATAAATCAATTTGTTGAAGGTATTTTATTTCATCTGTTTCATGTTCTATGAATTTAGTATAACGTCGTGTGAACGTCGACTGTAATCAGTAGCTACCTTCAAAACACGTGTGCTCAAAAGGCATGAATTCTGATTAGAATCGCTTAGGCGCGTAATTCTACACTTTGGTGAAAATATCGCTTGTCGTAGTCTTATAATATTTTAGTAGGTACTCTATTGTCAGACTACTAAATTTATAGCTACGCAAAGTTTAACGAAAATTGTATAAAACCAATATCGGTTCAAAATTGTGGGCTAAAAAGTGGACGAATTTTTTTTTCATTTTTCTGCTTAATTACAAAGAAACGGCTTGGCCGACAGTCGCAAAACTAACAAACGCTAGTCGTTATCGAGTTACACAGATGGTTTTTAAATTTCTGAAACGTTTGAAATTTTTTGAGAGAAAGTCGACAAAAGGTCAAAAATCAGCTTGCATATACACACAGTTTTTTTAAATTTAATCTGATTCGATTCAGAATGACTGAAAATACAGAAAACATAAAATTAGCAAATTGGATTTTTTCGCGAAAGCAAACTTCTACATTAGGAGTTAAAAACTTGAGTTGAAATTATGAACAATAAATTTGCACTTAGAAAAAAAATTGATGATAAATAACTAAAAAATAAATATTTATAAAAATAAAACTTGGTATATTTATTTAAAATTTCATAAAAAATATATTATCCATCCTGAGGTTCTTCAATTCCATTATGAAATTACAATAAAAATATTTATAAAACGTATCAAACATTAACTATAATTTTCAGTTTTCATATCATTTAAACCTAGATCTTCATTTTGTTCATATGTTCTATCATATTTAGTAACTTTCAACTGCTCATCTGGTGTGCCATCATCATTAAACGATTGTACATAACTATTGCCTGCAGGATCATCTAGTATTAAAGTTATTTGTTTTTTGCCATCGAGAACTTGCTGGAATTCTTCCAAAAATCTAAAAAAATTACATGTAAAAAAACTTTACATAAAATTTTATATTAAAAGATAATATTACTGCTTTTTAGATTTATTTTTTAGATTTATTCAGAAAACATCCGTATCTAGTTGTGCAATTCAAAAAACTAACTTGTAATATAATTTTATAGATTAAGTGTGCTTCACGAAAATTAAAATATTCCCATATAAATGAACCATTTTATAAAATTCTATTCTATAGTAAAGTAAAATAAATTCATAAACATACACATAAATAAAACTTACTTGTCCATTTTATTTTTTGATTCACTGTCCTGTGAATCTCCATAAATAAATTCTTTACTAGCAATTTGATTTTTCATTGCACTTAGTAATCCTTCAACAGTAGTAAACCTGCCATTCAATGCTGCTGAGCCCATTACCAATTCCAATTCTGGCACTTCCACACTACATGTTTCAGACTAAAATTTTTATTAACAATAATTCAGTTTTATCCTAATACATATGTTCAGAACTTGCAAACATACATTTACATTTTTATACGTCTGGATATTACTGAACAAATTCTAAGTTTGCAAAAATTGGTATCGTTTTTTTGGCATTTGTCAAAATTAGACCTTTCATCGACGTTTGCTCAAAAACGCCAGAACTGGTTTCAGAAATTTAAAAGCCATTTGATGTATCTCAATGAGCACTATCGTTTGTCAGTTTTGTACGACGATCTGCTGAGCCGTTTCTTTGTAATTTGGAAAAAAGTGTTGAATTTTTCGTTCACATTTAAGCTCATACTACTGAATCGATTTAAAAAAAAATCAAAAACTGTTTGAAAGATATTTGTTGGGAATGATACTGATTAGTTTTAGTTTGAAATTAACTGTTGAAACAAAATTTAAGCCGATTTTTATGGAACTTTTTTTGGCGATATAGATCATGGTCTTCTAGAATTTTCTAATACTAAGTAGTTTAATTTCAAAAATTCATCAAAGTTTGAGAACATGAGTAGTTTTTTTTGACGTTTGTTAAAATATAGGGTGGCCCATTTAAAAATTGGAATTTATCGATAGCAACTTGCCTGTAGGCCACACCGTGCGGAATTCGGAGTTGCGATATATGGGGAAAAAACTAAGAATTTTGAGACCTCTCTAACGATGTATAATACTTTATACGTTTTCTTTACAGAAATATCTAACCGTAAGATCACTAGATCACTAGGACCACTAGATGTCCCACCCTGCATAAATTAGACTATAGTCTAATAAAAGTAAATATATATTTATAAATATATTTACTTGGTATAACGATAGAGTACCTGGTCTTAATGAAAATACTAAACCATTAAAGTCCTATGGAAACTGGTTCAATTATAAAAATTATTAATTTGTGAAAATTTGCTTTTAGAGAAGAATCCGATCGTGTTCGTTCGTTTTCAATTATGTATAATAAATCTACTCGGAATACTTTTATTCACTGATAAATTAATTTATTTTCGATTAGGTCAATTGTTTACACATATCGGGAAGTACATGTAACTTGCCTCAAGGCAAAATACCAATGTTGGTATTGGTAAAGAAAAATTTTGCACTTTTCTGCTAATTGTAAAGAATCGGCTCGACCTTATAAAGTTCCATCAAATGGCTTTTGAATTTTTGAAATCAGTTCAACCGTTTCTGGGAAAACGTCGATAAAAGGTACCAATAACAGCTCACATGCACACACTTGCAAACATGTGTCTCATTCGATTCAGAAAGGCTTCAAACGTCGAGAAAACAAAATTAGCAAAACAGTTTTTCTCACAAAAACAAACTTCGGTGAGAAACTAAAAAATTAAATACATTATATGATAGTCTTAAAATTTGTCAATCTTCATTGAATGGTATGCGAAATGCATCAGTCCCCTCATAAAACAATACCTTAAAGAATATATTCTAATAATAATTTTTATTAATGTATATTTTATTATTTACCTTTAAAACATCTCGAGAAAAATCTTCTTTACCTCTAATTTGTACAGTATGTTTCATGCCATGTTCTTCAATTCCACCACCCGATTTAACCTCATTTGTTCGATGTCCACAAACTTCACATAGCGTTGCCATTATAACAACATCCTTAAAATGTGGAATATCTAAAAGGCTTAATTAAGGAACAATATCAATAAATGATAAAAAATTCTTGCATCAAATTGTGAAAATTTACTTAAAACATGTAAAAATTCAGTCAATTATAAAATTAAAAGTATAAATTAAATAAATGGAAATATTTAACCAAATGTTAGATAAGGGTGCTTTGAAAACTTTTTTTTTGATTGATGTTGCCTCACTCGAGACAATATTTGCAAGAACCACCATTTGAATATAATAGTATGTAATTACACATAGAATTAAGGATACTAGTCATTTTCATATTTGTTTCACAAGGAGCATTACATTCAGGACAGTTTGTAGGGAATGTTAAAACTTCTCCATGTAAATCTTCCAATTTAAAATCATCTTCTGCTATAGGCTTCAATATATTATCTTTGTTGTCATCAGAAACTTCCTTATGAGTAAAAACACCCAATACATGATTTTGCTCAGCATTTCTCACAAAATAGTTCACTGATAATCTGTAAAAAAACAAAAATGTTATTGTCTTTTGTAACTTAAAAATGTAAATCTAAATTAAATAAAATTAATATGAAAGAATCGGATTAAATGCACATTTTAAAATACGAATTATTAACATACTTTGGATCAGTTTTAGGTGCATTGGGATTTTCAATATGAGAATTTCCTGAAATATCTTCCAGAATAAAAGTGAATGGGTTTTCAACTAATTTCAATTTTTCAAGTGATAGAATAAATGCATCAATTTGTACAGCCGTTTCTGGGTGCTCAAGACGTCTTGCATTCTGATCTTGGTTGAGTCCTGATATAGATCTGTTTATGATACCTTCAATAGTAGTGATTTCTGAAAATATAATAAATATTTAAATAATATAAATATTTGTATGTAAAGTAAAAAAAAAAGTTATTCGATCCTATTCGATAATAACATTACAACTATTAACATCTGTAATTATGAACCATAGGCAATATAACAATTTACTCATAAAGACCATAATGATAAATCATCAAATGTAATTAAATATGCATGTTATGTGGTTCTGAATATTAAATCGAGATAAAAAATAAATATAAATAAATATTAAATAAATATATTAATAAAATATAATTATTAATAACAGTTGTAAGTCATTGTAACAGTTGTAAGTCATTGTATAATTAATAATCATTTATTAGAATAAAAATATTTTTTTAATTATCTGATATTAAGCACAGGAAAATTGTTCGATGTCATTTTTATATATCTATATATGCACAAAGTAAAAATTTTCTTTATTGCTAAACAAGTTTTGTATGTTTGAATGTTCAATTAAGTAAAATCTAAAAACTAAGAATAAGTTATATTTTATCTCACATAAAAGTAGAAATATATACCTGCTTTTTGAGATTGAGAAGGAATTTCAAAATCCAATTCAACAAATTTAACAGAACTATAATCTGATTTGACAATAGTTCTGTTCAGATCACTGGTCGATTCTACCATTAA